CGGTTCACCGAGAGATCTGCCATTGCGTCAGCGATTTGTCAATGCGTATGAGCGAGCTCGTGCGCACCGCTTGGAGAAGGCGAGACGTCACCGGGCAGCGAGATCACGAGCGTGCATGTCCACGGCGTCTCCGAGTCCTCTGCATCCGACTCGTCGTCCGAGCCGTGCGCGAGCGACTCGCTACGCGCATCGCCTTCGTGCGACGATGACGCCAAATCGACGCTCTTGGGTGCAGGCGAGTGCGACCGGCTCCCGGTGCCAGTGCCACTCGCAGCAGGCACGATGCGCGACGAGCGCCGCGAGCCTGCTACACCCTCCGTCACGGTTGCCGCCTTCGCATGTCCGTGCCCGCTGTCCAGCGTGTCCTTTCGCGCCGCGCTATTCAGCCCGCGCACCCACTCGAACCGTACCGTCGGCGTCTGAGCCGCCGTGTTCTCACCGCCGCGCTTGACGTTCAGTCGCTGCATCGCGCCCAGCAGTCCGCTGTCGCCGCCCTTGATCCACCGTCGCACCACCCAAACGATACTTGCTGGGCTGCGGCCCACTGGCGGGTACACCGCGCTGTAGATGCTGGACTGCAGCCCGAGCACCGGCTGCGACAATTGTTGCTCACGTTTCGCTGCCGCGGTGGGCGCAGCTGCTGGTTTCGGCGTGGGCGGCTGCTCTGGCGGTGCAGGCGATGCTTTGCGATTGAAGAACGAGGTGAATCGCGGCCGTTTCGTCGTAGCCGCGTTGGCCACGACCGGTTCGGGTGCAGGCACATGCGGATGTTCAGACGACACAACCGAGTCGTTATCGGGTGTTGATACGTCCTGCGGTAGACCCGTCGTGTTGCCCCACATCTCGGTCGGCTCGATGACGCACAGATCGATAATCTCAAGCCCACGTTTGAGGAACTTTGCGATCTTTGCGTCGGTGCCCGCGTCCAGTACCGCGTTGGTCATGACGTTATGTGCCGATAGATTGTACAGCGGTACGATGATGCGTCGTGAACTTGCCGAGCTGGACGTGCTCGCAACGCTACTGCTGTTCGAATAAAGACTGGCAGAGTCTGCTGAGCGTGTACTGGATATGCTATTGCGTCGTTGGAGTTGCTGACCGTCGGCGCCGGCCTCGGAGCCTGGCGGTGAGTCGAGCGTCTCGACCGTATCAGTGCGCGTGAAATCAACCGAACGGCGCGATGAGTGGCCCGATTGGCTAGAGCCTTTGGTGTGTGCTGGGCCAATTGCGGGCGGGATGAGCTGGAGCTGCAAATTGAGCGGATGGTTGCTTTTCGACGGCGGCGGTCGCACGACGATAAACGTCTAACACTAATCAGCCAGTGCCCGATGTAGTAACTCTCCGACGACATCGTACCTCGTTCTGAACACGCAGTCGTGACGGTCGGGTGGGAGGTTCGTCCACGCTACGGCGCGGGGCTTGGCTGTTCATACCGACGTCGGCAGGCGCGGGCGGTTGTTGATTGCGAGAGGCAGAGTCGTTGGACAGCGACGGGAGTAGATTTGAAAGAGAGCTAAGCATGTTTAGGTAGAGCGGCCGGCCGTGGACGCGCAAGTTCGGAAACAACGATGTAAGAGGTAGAGAGACTCACTCCGGCGCGCGCGGTTCTTGCGGCACTTGTCTTACGACCCTACCGATGACATGTCACGCATCCCCTTTATGTACCCCCGCGTCCCCCTGCCGCAGCATGACGACCAAAACAGTCGGCCATCTTCCGACGGGGGCCGTCCGAACTCGCACGCAGCGTGCCCAATCATAGACGAGTTTGGCATGGTTTGGAAAATTACAACAACAGGTACACGAACAGCGACCACAGACACCAGGCACGCATTGAGACCATTTCTACAGACAGTAAAAGAGAGATAGACAGAGACAAGAGACTGTGCGATGAGAGAGAGAGAAGTGTGCATTGAGAATGATCACTGGAAGACCTGAAAGTCAATCAGCGGAAGTGGCGGGATTGGCAATATCAGGAGCGACATACTGCGCCGGAGAAGAGACGGCCGTCGGCATGGGTCTCGTATGCATCACCAGCGTTAACCTTGACGACCTCGAAGCGTGCGGTGGTGCCGTCATAGTGAAAGACACGCTTGACACCGGCCCAGCGACACCAGGCCAGACAGCGCCAGCACGGGCTCGCAGTGCCGAACCCCTGCTTAGTGAACCGCGCCACATACAAGTCAGCGCCGTGAACGCGACCGAACCGGTGCCTCAAGGTGGCCTCAGAGCTGCCCAGCGGAGCCCCAGGCGGCGGCGGACAATTGCGATGCGGATGGTCGTGTTCGTTGTGAGGGCCGTGAAACGCGCGGTTGTAGCCCTTTTCGTTCTGCTTTAACGCAACGTAGACGCCACTCGCCCTCGTCGCGGCGCTGTTGAACGCACTGCGTCTTGAACGCAGGCTGACGCGCGCCGGACGCGTTGTAGATGGCGTGCATCTCGGCGTGCATGCTCACAGGTCGCTTCCCGCCACGCCCGCCGTCGTACTGCGTCCGATGGTGGTTGTATCCCGTGCCCAGTATTTTGCCCCCCTTTACCAGCACAGCGCCCAGCGTAAAACACATCGGCGACTTCATCGCAGCCTCCTCGCAGTGCGACAGATACAGGTTCGACTTGGACTCGGACGGCATACTAGATATGTGTGTGTGGCGTGCGTGCGGTAACTGAGCAGAGCTGAAGTCTGTGTAAGAGCGGCGACGGAGGGAAGTAGCGAGCAGTTTGACTGGAACGTGTGGCGTGAGTCAAGGCGGCGACAACACGCGCCGAGTCACTTCCATTCCCTCCTTGCCCTTCGCTCGCCGCCATGCTCGTTACTGCCGCCTGCCTGCACCCGCAAGTCACACACTCGCCACGGCCTGACTGCATAGTCGTGTCCACCACGTTTCCCCCGACCCGCAATGACGGCAGCACACGCCCTGACTCTCCATCAGCAGCTAGTACTCCTACAGAACCGCAGTCAGCGTTCAATCACGGTTTCCAGACTCTCTAGTGTTCATGCACACGCCGCAGTCTCCGCAGTCTCCTGCCTTCTTTGTCCTGCAGATCCCTTGGACAGATCTCGAGCTCCTTTCAAGTGTGCCCGAAATGGACGAATTGAGATTCGCTGTGCCCGCAGTTCTTGGCTTTTTTTTCGCGCGTCTGAAGTCTGGTGCTTCGATTGCCGTCACCTTTTGCTCAGCCGTGACTTCTCTCACAGCAACCTCTTGCCTGAGCCGAAAATGCGTGCTGCGCCCGCAGCTACTTGCGCGCACTGAAGTAATTTGATAATTACAATGTACATGTTTGCATTCAGCGCAGTGACTTGTCTGGAACAGACGAAACCTGATGCGCCCGCAGTTCTTGTCCCCGGCATGCCCGCATTGAAGTTTCGGACATCATCGATTTGCAGGTCTTGTAATCGACCGTACAAGCTCTTCGAGTCTCTTAGAACGAGATTTGCATGAAACAGGTGCCGTCTACTGTGCCCGCAGTTCCTGTCGTCGAGCGGACGTCTGCAATACAGCCAAGACCTTCCCCATCCACTTCAGATCAGGTTATATGTATCGTCCGTAGCCGCAGACACATTGTCTCTGTTCCGCCATTCGCGGGGCTACTCTATCCATCGTTTGCTTATGTAAAACTTATCTCATGCAGTCGCGTCACCCGCTCGAGACAAGTTCTGAAGTCTGCAAGTCTGCGACCGATTCTCAAGCGAGCCATGCGAGTTCTCATCTACAGCCCGCCTGGATGCGATAGATCTGCGGTTCTTCTCTTTCAGATCTCCTGTTTTTCATCAATCTATCGCCGCTCTCTAAATCTCCGTCAACTGCGCGAGGGGGTTTCTTACAGCATAATCGCCGAAACGGCTGAAACCTATGGTCCGGCAGCTGCTTACCTCCGCGATAAGCTGGCGATAGCTCTTTCTTCAGTTCGGACTTTGTGTAATTCGGACTGTTGCCCGCAGTCGTAGGCGCCTAGCACGATCTTGAAATCTGTTCCGCAACGCACGGGGCTGGATTGAAATGTCGGCATACGCTCAGGATGCACTTATCAGGCTCTTCGCGCAAGTCACATGTATCTCAAGTATCTGCAGGGGTAGTAGTCTGCTGCGGGAGTTTGCACGCACGTTCCATTTGCCCGGTTTCCTGCCTCACCAACACAATTTGATTTTCCGCGTAAAACCCTTCAGACCAATCGATTTGCACCTCAATTCGACGTATAACGTCTCCATCTCGCGATGCAAGGGCTCGGATGTCACTTCTGGCAGGTAGTCAGCACGTACGCATGCGCCGGTGGCTTCGCGCAGGGCATTGTAAAAATGGTTTTTAGTAGAATACCTACCGATTTGATCAGATCCCCTTCGTTTAATTGTAAGTCTGCGGTGACTGCAATCCGAAACCAGCAATACCCGCGACTGAGTGATAGAACTGAACCTCGGCTCGGTCTCCTCAGCTAACCATGCTGCTTCAAGACATTCTATGAGATGACAGTCACGACTGTTTCTGCACCAGTCGAACGAGATGTCACTTACAATATTACACATTGGCGGTTCAACCCCAATCCATCCCCGGCATGACTCTGAAACAGTAATTATACATTCTGCCTTTCTCCGTCCACCCATGTGGTTGCAGTCTCCGTGGCAAGTGGTCGGCTCACAGTCTATAACTTGAGGCAAGTCCATGCCACGGGTCCGAATGATCCTCGGTACACGGGCTGTCCGCGCGCCGCGGAGGAACTCAACTTGACCGGCGCGGAAGCCAAAATACTCATCGTTGGCTCGTCTACGATGAAGCAATGCCCTCGTTAGTCTTGCACCTTATCACCTGAGGGCGGAGATGAAACTACGCTGCGTCAGAAGTAGCTATTTATTGCTGGGCCAGGTAGCGCAGTGGCAAACGCGTCAGGGCTTCTACCGATGAGAAGTAATGGGTCGAACAAAATCGAAGTACTACTGGGGGCTAGATTAAGCATCTGCTGATCTTTGAGATGTGATGAGTAATATACTTTGGCCACCAGAGGTGTATGGCCTCGTAGCGTAGTGGCAACGCGTCAGCCTCCTACTATGGAGTTAAATGCCCACTTACAGCTGAAGGTCGCGGGTTCGATCCCCGTCGTGGCCTGATTTTGCCTCCATTTTGCAAGTCCCAGTTGCTCAGATTCCTGTAAGGAGGTCTGTTCCGAGAGGAAGTTGGATTTTGCCGACAATACAGTTCCCGACTCTTGCTTGTAAATTGTTTTGACCTTGAATTCTGCCCTAGCTTTGTATATTATATACCTCCGGTACGAAAATTCACGCTACGATTGTTTGTGCTAGCGCTAGGTATGCTCACTAGAAATCGCCAGCTTTCAGAGACCGCTCAGTGTAACCTGTAAAGAAGATGCCTTTACAATCAACAAATTGCTGCGCGGCGCTTGTCAACCCATTCTGGGACATCTGATTCAGTGAGCATTCTGGTAGCCCTTTCAACGCTCAGGCGGCCGTTGCTACTTATTGTGAAGTGTGCGACGGACCTGCCCAGGTCACTGGGGCAAATCCTCCGGTGCACATCGGCACCGGCACGCATGCCTTCTCTGCCAATGTGCAAGCTGTCCAGCCCATACGGTGCAAGCCACGTACTGTATTGCGATGGCCACATAACAATCTTGAAACAGATACACCATCGAACGTTCTCATAATCTACAATGCTAGGGTGAGCACAGACTGCTACTGACTGAGCTGAACCCCAAGCTGGAAGTGCAAGACTTGAAGTGCCAAGGTGTTCCAAGAGTCCTGATTACCAGCCCCGACGCCATTCATGTTGAAGCCTTCAAGTCTTAGCTGACGCAGCCGCTTGTCCTGGCGAATGCAAAGCGCAGAAGCGATCTTACTCGCCAGCTGACTGGCCTCCATGCCGCTTCCAGACTCTGCCTGGAGCGCAAGCGAGTCGAGCATTGGAAACAATGGCTCTGCCGCGCCCTGATTCGCATCCAACCAACGGCCGAAGGCACCTTTCTCGTCCCAAAAGATGATCTCGAGCTCACGAATGCAGCTTTCGCCAATTTCTCGGAAGTTTCTGGTGAGCAGGCTTTCGTGCATGGTGAGTTTGACCAGCGATTGTGCTGCTCGTGGCGATAGCCCTTGCCAGAGGCTATGCAGAACCTCGTCCGGAGTTTCGTTGATCGACCCGTCCAATGGAATCATAATGGAATGCTGGTGATATGGCTGAGGCTGTTCAAGTACGACATCGACTATCCATATTGGAATAAATAAGATTTTCTCCGAATCGACAGCTGAGTATCACGGGCTCCGGCACATTGCGCAGGACTGAGAGAGTTTGTAGACTCCGGATGCCTTCAAGTTGGAGCTGGAAGTGTTCCAGTTCTGGCCTATTGAAAGTCGCCATGAATTCTGCCTCCATGTCATTCTTGATGGACACGTTTTTCAGGCAGATACGCCGGAGTGAGTTAGAAAGGAGCTGTCGAATGCGGTCGTAGCCTTCTTTCGTGTAGGCGACATGGTGCCCAAAGTTGATACTGAGTTCCTGTAGTACAGTGCACGACACGATCAAAGCGCAAAGCTTGTAGTGCTGGCTACCATACAGATCTACCTCCAAAACTCGAAGCGACGGCGCTGAGAAACTGAAGCCTGTGCGGTCGAATTCAATTTGAGCGTCCAGCTCGAATCGCTGTAGTGACGGGAAATACAGGTGGCCAGCCAGATCATGTTCATCTGAACAGCCGTAGATACGAAGGAATGTCAGGTGTGATAGAGATTCAAGAATTGTGATAAAGGCCTGCAGCTCCAATACGCAGTCTGCGCTAATGCTCAAAGAAGTAACCCGAGCGGCGTATGAGATGATGAAATTTTCGACGCCTTCCGGGATCGCGTCCTCTGCGTAAAAGTCGCCGTCGGGGAAGACGAAGTCCTCTAACATTACCTCAAGGCTGAGAGGTAGTCGACTGCTCCGCTTGATGTACATTTCCAGAAGAAATTTGGAAGTGGACAAGACTTTTGCCACCTCTTCATTCTCAAAGCGAAGTCTGGCCGAATATTCAAGTGTGTTCCACAGCCGCGGGTGAGCGCATGCCATTTCACGCCAGTCGTGGCAGACATGTGTGACCGTCATCGAGTCGCCTGGGGGCAGTTGCTCCCATATCCTACACCATATCTCGCGCGGAAACCTGATAAAGAGCATGTTATTGCGGTTGAATTCGCAGAGCGCGGGGGTCAGCGCCATCCGAACGGTTGCAACGATGGCCGCCACGGTATCATGCACTGTCAATGCGCTCGCGCGAGTCGAGGCGTGCGCATGAAGATGCCCGTGAAAGGTGCTGATTGCAACTTCCTCGAGGGCTTGCTGAAGGGCAGGCGATAGTACAACAGTCATAATCGATAGCGAGAAGGAGGAAGAGATTTGGACGTCGGTGTTCCAATCGAACTGAAACTAGATTTCACCAATTCATCTGAAGTGACGTCGGCTCACACAGCGTACAGAAGGATCCATTAAGCTATGCAATAGCTAGCCGAGGCTCTCTTGAAGGCAAGGCTGCACAAGGACCAAGATGCGTCAGTGTTGCCTGATCCGTGCGTCGAGATCTCGCCGAGCTGGGTGTACTTGCGACGCTGCTGCTCGCCGAGTAAAGGCCGACCGATTCAACTGCGTGTAATTTGGACGTGCTGTTGCGAAGTCGGTGACGTTGGCTGTCAGCGCCGACCCCTGCGAATGTTATCCGAACAGGACGCAATTTATCGCCCAGAATGGAAACATATCAACACCCGCATCGTCCCCTAAAATGTCACGGTGCAATACTGCGGATTATGGCAAGTGCCACAATATGATTCCTTGAAGGCAGGCGAAGGGATTGTCTCGAGTTTTACCCACACTGTGCGTTGAATGTTCCAACGGGACGAGTTGATCCAGCTATGAGAATATACATAAATATTATAACGCTCCGTGGTGCTGTGTGGCCTACCTGAAGCCGGGTTGGTGCTGGTGGCAATGGATACTATCTGGTCATCTTCGTACTCTTCCTCTTGCAGTTGGCAGCTGCTGAACTTCACTTTCTACAGCTCGTGTGTAGCGAGTCAGACACAACACTACCGTCTCCGGCACCCGAAATGTCTCTGAATCAATGACAGAGTGCGTGGGATGGCGAAATAGCAAGGAAGGTCGACTTATGAGTTCATTCGGATCCCTTTCATGGTCAGATAATTCACGCGCGTGAAATTGTCTCCGACCTACACGCATAGTGTTCGCCAGCGGGCTCAGTATCTCTAGGTCATGCGACCGACTGTGGTCGAGCTGCACACCGAGATCGATGCTCAGTCGCGCGTCGCGTCGCGGTATGGGCAAGTTGGCCTGGATCCGCTCGACACGAACATCGCGTTCGTCAAGCATAACTATTATCAGCACCCCTCAACGCCATTCGACACTAAAAAAATATCTCAAAACGACGCCATTGGCTGTGTTTGACACGCATGAGCTGAGCTGAATGGAAAAGAGCATGTGTGGCTTCGGCTGGCCGATCGCCTCTTTGCCCTCTCACCTCATGTTTGCAGCCACCTACTACCACTCCACGCGACCCCGACGCTGCTATACGTGCCACAGACACCGACGCCGCGCACGCACGACTGAGCGCGATCAACAAAGGCTACCTGAGCGATCCGTTCACGGCGCTGCTCGTGCCTCGCGCGCGGTTCGCCCCACCGCGCCCACCGCTTATCAATCACGGCACGCACGTCCGCGCGCGGGGCATCGATGCGCTTGTTCACGCCTGGCTAGACATTGGCGGCGCAGACATCAAGAAGCAGATCGTCAGCGTTGGCGCCGGCAGCGACTCGCGCTTTTGGCGAATTGCCAGCAGTGCACGTGGGGATGCTTTGAAGGCATACGTTGAGCTGGACCTACCCGAGAACGTGCTCTCCAAATGCATGACCATCCGAAAGTCGAAGGAACTCAGCGCCGTGGTTGGCGCCGACGCCGTCCTCAGTGCGTCTCATATACGTCTCATATAGTGAAATGGGCGGAGCGTCTGACGCAGCATGCACAGCGTAGCTCATGGAGGCCAGGCTCTCTCATCAGCACGGTATCATCTCCGACCTGTAGACCTGCGGAACGAGTCGGCGCTGGACGCGGTCGTCGACTTGCTCGATCCAACGATTCCAACTCTTTTCATAGCCGAGTGCGTTCTCGCATACATGGACCGAGGCGCCTCCGACCGCTTACTACGCAAAATCGCTGATCATTTTGATTGCTCTGCGGCTGTGGTCTATGAGATGTTTGGACTGGACGATGCTTTTGGACGTGTAATGCGGGAGAATCTCCAGGTTAGCCGTCTTGCGCGCCGTTGTTTTCGTGCGAATTGACAACGATGAAGGCCCGAAATGTGACCCTCCCTGGTGTCGATGCCTACCCAACTCTGACGGCGCAAGCAGAACGCTTCACAGTGAATGGGTTCACCGCCTCATCATCGTTGACACTGCGAACCATACGCTCGCACTACATATCCTCAGAAGAGCGAGAAAGGTGCGCCAGCTTACATGTGCATGTCTTGCGTACTGAGAATTCGGTGCCCAGAATCGCTAAACTGGAGATGTTGGACGAAATCGAAGAGCTTGATCTTGTCCTACAGCACTACGCAATCTCTTGGGGTCTCAAAGCGCCGGAGGAATCAAGCTTTGTGCATTGGACGATGCCAGACCAGGTGTAGCGTCTCGGCCATAGCAAAACGAACTGTTGTAACCCTGTACCATACCGACTCGGAACACCTGCTTCGATGACATGATTCTTCATTTGCTATAACTCTCCATCCACCATTTGAACTTCCAAACCATCCCGAGATCTTTAGAATCTTCTTGTGTCTCGCCGATGGCAGCTCAAGCTTAGCACAGGTTTATAACAGCGACTGCTATATAATCGTGCTTGTTGGTCCCAGAACTTCGCTCACGTTTGTCGGGAATTTTCGACTTCTAGTGGTCGCTGCGTCGTGCGTCATCCTAACTTCCTCGGTCACGAGAGGGACGTGATGCTCAGATAACAGGTAATCTGCAAGCCTGCTGGCTAACTTGACGCTTCAAATAACGTACACAAGCATTCAGAACTCAGCACGGTTCAAAAGACATATCGTGAGAGCAAAATTA